ACACTACTAAAAAGATTTAAAGTAATTTTTTGTAGTAGGTACCGCAGTAGTAACTTTTGCTATGGAAGACCATATGCGTAAGCATATACTTTACAAATGGGGGGTGCTTTTTTTCTTTGGAGAAAATATCTTTCTATAATTAAAATGTTGAAGTCTTGGTAAAATAATATCATTGATGACAGCCGGATTAATACATGCATGTGATTTATTTCTAATTTATTCATTTGAAAATAAAAAAAATATATAGAGAAAAAATATTATGAATGTTTACACATATGATCTTCCTTAGTGAAAAGCCAACAATAGTTTAAAATGGTGAAAACATTGCTTTCATCGAAAGTTTTCAAAATTCGAGAAACATTGTGATCAATCATTTTTCATGTATATAGTTATATATGGGAGAGTGTGTGGTGAACAAGTGAGAACAAGATAACATTTTAGGAAGTGTTACTTTCGTTATGAAATTAAGTGTATCATTCAAAAAAGTCTAAAGAGGCTGCATGCAGCCTGTTGGACACAGTTTGCCCATGACTATGGCATTCATGTTTTTTTTTTCTTTAAATAATAAATGTGAATGTCAGTGTGTCACACATTTTCAACTTTACTCCTAGAGGCCATAGCCCGACACATCATACCATTTTGGAATCAGGTTGACTCCGTGAATAAATTATAAACATTCCGGACTAGATTCAAACCCACAATCCTGAAAAAATATCGTTACTGTAATTGGGTTTGGTGATTTCTTTACGATAAAATTTTTACATGATAATTTTTATAACTTGGAAATAATCGATCTTCCTTAGTGAAAAACCAACAATAGTTTGAAATGATGAAAACATTGCTTTCATTGAAAGTTTGCAAAATTCGAGAAACATTGTACTTAGTCATTTGAGAGAATGTGTGAGTGAACAAGTGAGGACAAAATAAAATTTTAAGAAACGTTATTTTCCTTGTAGAATTAAGCGTGCCATTCAGAAAGGCCAAACAGGCTGCACTTTGCCCATGACTGCTTTAGGGACATCCTGTATTGTTATGGGTACGTAGCTGTGTGGTTAAACTGTTCACCTTCTGGCGATGAGAACCGAGTTCGAATTTTACCACTATTTCTCAGGAAGGTGACCTCTTGATGTTCTCAATCGGGGCGAGGAATCCTAGCGTGCTCACCTTTGGAATGTGCCCGAAAATACTATACCACAGGTTGACCTAAGCCTGTGAGTGTAATTGTGCAGACAGAACCTTTTGAGAGCCGTTGATAGTTGTGCTAGCACGAAGTCACAAGTCATCGTGACAGAGGGTTTGAATCTTTTTTTTTTAATATTGATTATGCCAGAAATTACGCTCTCTCCCAGAAACTGTAACTAAAGTCCGATCAGCATAGTTTCAGTATAAACCACAGGTGGGCGTGTTGAACAAACAGAAATGTGCCCGAGAAAGCGTCTGCAACAGGGACTGGCTATCCGCCCTAGTAGACAGGCATCCTCGAATACGAGCCGCAATCTATTATTATTTACATACGGAATATTGTCCTCATGTTCGGTGTTGTTATCACAATGTTTCGACCGTTGTGCTTTCCGGCCTTCGTCAGGTGTATGTCAATCCGGATAATCTACAGGGAATTTCGAACTAAACACTTTATTTAATTTACGGGGTAGGTAGTTATAATTCTGCTGTCAGTGTTTAGGTATATTTTGTCGTTCTTATTTTTAGTATTGCACAATTATTGCTCGCTCAGTTTCCACTGAGACCAAGTACACACTACCAAGCCCAGGGATTGAACTCGTGATTACTATGTCAGTAAATTCAAGAACCAACGGCTTAATCTGCAAGTCACAAATAGCAGGAACACCGGACAATACATGGCAGGAATATTCTAAGCATGGACGCTTGTTACTTTGATGCAAGATTCATGCTGGAGATAAATATTGTCTCTCACGCCAAAGCTTCTTAACAACTGACCTAGAAATGGCTTCAATATAGTCTTTCCACTTCATAACAGCCGAGAATGTGAGCCCGTGAAGGCGTGTCGCGTCACTTTCCTGGGAGATAGCATCAAGCATCCTGATAAAACGTAGAGAGGGTTTTTTTTTCATTTTACTAAAACAGACTGTCGGGAAAAGGTTTTCTGGTATTCTAAACGAAATTATGAATATAATGAATAAACCTTTTCTTTTATAACTGCAGACGTGAGGTTATTCTTGTTGATGTGAAGACATTTATAATAATAATAATAATAAAGAAAAGGATATATAGTCTTAATTTGACCATCAATCTAAGAATTTTGAAATTTAGTACATAAAACTTTCGAAATACAGGCTGGTCTGAAAGTCTTGTCACCCCCTACCAAAAAGTAATGAGAACAATAGAACAAGTAATATATAATACAAATCCGATGGACTGGATTCAGTTTATTCACTTTCATTAACGCTGTCACACTTTGAGAAGGTCTGCATTTTTTAATTATTTAATTGTTGGCATTAATTAGGAAATAGCTTGATAAAAAAATTATACATTTATTGTAAGTTCGATGTAATTCCTTACTCGTTTTAAGTCAGAAACATAAGCCCCGCTCTCGGTAGCCATTGACGGAAGGCAGCTTTGAAATAGGCATACAATTCCCTACACTAATTAATTTGAAGAGATAGATAGGCATCATGTGGTTCGAATCTCCAAAATTCTACCTGAATATTCGTCTAAATTTAAATGATTAAAAGAGTTGGTTGGGGTAGATCTATTTACCTGGCCTCTTTGCGATCAATTCCTGGTCCGGGCTTTGTATAATGTCATATTTACCCTGGTTCTCGACATGACAAAGAAGAATTAAAATAGGAAAATTAAATAATATGAGTTATCTTCCCTTGCCGAATCAGGATAATCTTGTCGCGTCGATCGAATAAAGGCATCACTGAAAATGCTTAACTGTTACGAGATCGTCTTTTGCATGGAGAACAGAATGAGAGAAGTCTATTAGACTGTTTGGAAAATGAGGTCCGGTTTTAGAAGAAAGCTTTTGTGTTCAGCCATATTTTCTTTTGCATAATACGCGATATTTTGGACGAAAATCGATGGCAAAAAAAGAGTTCATATTATACACAAGTACACGTTTTCAGAAATTTTTAGTCTGCTTAAACTTCTTCCTGATTGAAAGAGCAGGGTTGCAAATACATTCAGTTGGCGCAATAGATAATAAAACACAAAGTAGACAGGTGTTGATAACAATTGTTTACAAAAGGCATTTGATATGTCGGCCATGTTTATTCCTCTTCTCTTTCTTAATGTCGGCAATACGTGTTTCTCTCTCCATCTTCATATAATTAATATATAGAAATATAATAATGTTATATCAAATAAAACACGTATGATAGATTAATTATCAACTTAAAATTTATAACTGGGTATGTCTTGTTACAATCTTGCCAGGAAAATTCGAAAATATATTTTGAAACGGAAATTAGAACAAAGGTGCCGTGACTAAACACTCGCTCCATTTCTAGGCTGTTAGGCGGAATGTTGTTAGACACAGCCACGTCTCGTCTTCCTTTAAGAGAAATTGTTGAACTGATTTTCTATTGGCTGATAGAAACACCTGTTACATCAGCAGCAGTTTATTGTCAAAGAGGCTTCATCAGTACAATTGTACCAATATTGTAGAAATGTCTGTAGCAGTGTTATGGTCAATACGCATCAACAACTCGGACAAAGCAACAATATTGTAGAGATTGGTGAATCTCTGATGTTTAAAAGAATTTTATTTAGGAAGAGTAGTGCGTTAATAATGGATTTGCGACTTTACGATATTGATTTTAAACGATCTACCTGGTGCATGTTTCTGACAGAAGTGCAGCAAATTTAATTTCAGTTGTGCAGTGATGTTTTGCATCTGGTTCTAACATTCATAGTGATAGATGGGCCGCCTAGAATATGGGTTAGCTGCGCTTGGGTTTCAGCATTTAGTTGTCAACCATAATCAGAATTTTCTTGACCCAATGACGGGGTCCTTTATCAATCATGTGGAAGTATATTGGGTAAGAATCAAGAAACGCCTAAAGAGATTTGATGGCTCAACAGGTGATATGAAATGGTCAGACCTGGAGGAGTCAATTTATAGGGATTTTTTTAAGTTCGAGGATAATAGTGTTTGGGAGAATAGACACATTTTTAACATATATTATTACAATACACATTTTAAATATATTATTATATTTGGTTTTAAATTAATACTGTACCATGAATGCACTCGTATTAATTTTTTAGGGAGATTCGTCTAACATTCTACCGAGATTTTAATGTAACACGTAGTCCGAAGGTCTTGTCGTCGGTACATATAATTTTCTATTTCAGATGGCTGACACAAGCTAACGAGTTTGGAAGGAAGGTAGGGGCGACACAGACTTTCGGACCACCCTGTATGATCTGGTATATTTCAATATATATTACATAGTGCTGGCTGTACTACGGGGGTCGTATTATATTCAGGCCGTTTCTTCATAGTCATTAGGGATTTTATTTTTATTAATTGCTTAATTTTTTGTGCGATATAAATGCAGACAGGTTTACCAAGAAAAAAAAAAGAATAGGGTAGATGAATTCATTTTCTTGAACTGAGAAGAATAAAACAATCATACATTTGCATTGTTGTCCTGATAATGAAATTGGCGCCAACCTCAGGCTACTGTACTCTATACTACTGTACTGATGCGGCTTCTAACTGTTATGACAAGAAGATTCTTGGGATAAATTACAGAAGTAGGGTACCCAGGCCTACTCGGATAACGTTCTTGCTTGCCGCGGGGTTCCCACAGACGCAGAGACAGGAACGACCAGAAGACGCCGGTTACCGATGCAGACGCTCCTTGGATTTTCACCAGAGCCCTTGTTAGCCGGCGTGTGTGTGTCAGACCTGCCCGCCTTGGGTGGCCCTACCAAGAACGAAGTTCCGGGCGGCATAGCTCTGACACTACCGTTTACACCCCCCCACCGACTGTGAGGTAAGGGTTGGACTTTTACGGTCAAATCACGCTGAAAACACCGGTTCTCGTTCGATCACCGAAGTTAAGCATCGTAGAGCCAGGTCAGTACTTAGATGGGGGACCGCTTGGGAACACCTGATACTGTAAGCCCCCAAAGTCCAACCTCAGGCTAGAGCAAAGAAGACTAATGATAGCGGTCGTCCAGAACTCAGACTTTATTAGCTGGGGGTAACGGGATCAAACGTATGAAAATAAGGTACCACATAGCGTTCAAATATACAAATATCAAAATAGAGGCGAGTTTTGTAAAAACATGTTGCGGAGAATCAGTGTCCGATCAGCCCTGATTCGGTCGTTTGGGGGAAAATCATACGATGTTTCGAGAACAGAAATTCTTAAGGAAACCAGGAATATAACATTGCTGACAACTCCCTCTTGTTCACCGAAGAGATACATTTTTGCGAAATTCCCTGCTTTTATTTACATTATTTACATTATTCGAACTGTTATCCTCATCTTTATTGCCATATTCACAACATTTCAGTCTCTATATCTCTGAGATGAGGTATCATGGTTACTTGCATTATTTACATTATTCAAACTGTTATCCTCATCTTTATTGCCATATTCACAACATTTCGGTCTCTATATCTCTGAGATGAGGTATCATGGTTACTTGCATTATTTACATTATTCAAACTGTTATCCTCATCTTTATTGCCATATTCACAACGTTTCGGCCTCCATATCTCTGAGATGAGGTATTATGATTACTTGCATTATTTACATTATTCAGGCTGTTATCCTCATCTTCATTGCCATATTCACAATGTTTCGGCCTCTATATCTCTGAGATGAGGTATTATGATTACTTGCATTATTTACATTATTCAGACTGTTATCCTCATCTTCATTGTCATAGTCACAATGGATAAAGGCGTTGGTTAGATCCAGTGACTAGACACAAAGTGATGTGAGTTCCATACCAGGCCACAGAAGTGGTTAATCTAAAATTTGGAAAGTTTAACATGATCGCTTATGAAGGAAGAAGGTTCGTTCAACGCAGTCCTAAAGACAGATATTCACCTCAGGGCACTAAAAGCAGCGTTAAATTTGGTAGAGGAAGTGTGATGGTATTTGGCATGATTTCACCTGCTGGTACGGGGAACCTCTTGTTAGACTACACGGTAGAATTAATGCAACTGTATACAAAGAGATATTGAAGAAACACGTTGTACCTAATTTGAGAACTGCAATTAATCAACCAGCTGTATTTAATGCAAGATAACGCGCCATGTTACACAGCGAAGTCGGTTAAGACATTTCTTTCCGAGGAAAATGTTACTGTTATGGAGTGGTTTGCTCAAAGCCCAGACATGAATCCTATTGAGAATGTTTGGAAGTTACTAAATGAAAGAGCTAAGGAAAAGAATCCAACAAACGTCAAAGAACTATGGACTAATTTGAAAGGAGAATGGAAGAAAATACCCGTTAATGAATGCAAGACATTAATTCGCTCATGTAGCAAAAGATGTCAAGCTGTTATTGCAAGTAAAGGTTTACACATCAAATAGTAATGTATTATGAACGCTATTTTCATTTGGATATGATGTATCCATTATAATAGTAGGATTTTGTTAATCGTTCGGATGTTTTTGATCATCTATTTTTTTCAAATGTTATATAATTATTCATATAACTTTATCAAAATAAGTTTATTGATCTTTATATTTTGGAATTATATAATTTACATTTATATCCTTATTTTTCCTTGATAAAATGTTCTTTGAAGCTTTAAAATAAAAATTTATTTCACATTTAGACTTTTTCTTAACATCGTCTGATCTTATGCTCGCTACTGTATATGTATGTGTGAGTGTGTGTGTGTGAGTGTGTGTGTGTGTTGCGGCATGTTTGTAAGAGATTATTTAGAACAAAATAATTTTCATTTGGTTTTTCCGACCATATTGTTGTGTTTTTTTTTGTTTTTTGTTCCCCCCCTCCCAAAGTTTAACCTTGGAGTCGTACGCATCCTCGAGACGATAGTCGGGATGCCGAGGCCTTGTCAAAAGAAATGACGTGTGCAAAACGCTTTATTCTAATACGGCTCTGTCCGTCGCCATTCCACTTACCCCAAGCATCCGTCATTTTTCTATTTTATTTTGCACATCTCGAGGCAGTCAATAGTTGATCAGCTTCATTACACGCTTCATTAAATACCCGGTGCAGCGGGCAGTCGCATTGTGTAAGTGGCGCCATCTTTGGTTACGCTCTAAACTTGAGGGCTCTGAACTACAGAATTCGCTCAACACAAGAGGAAATAAATATATAATCGCTATCAAATTGTTTTCGCTTTCTGTCTCGCTAGAAACTTCGTCTCAGGTTGATTTCTTTACTTAAATATATGGTTGGTTAATTAGCAATGAACCCAATTATTATTTGGCGTGGATTTGAGTTTAATTTGTATGACGAATATTTTTTCAAATGTCCAGTATGGATGAGGCTGAGAGTTTCTGATTAGTCCTTCATTATACGAGGCTCTAAAACTAAAATCTTTGAATTCTGCTATAATATTTCACATTCATTAAACCTACTTACAGAGTCACAAATATGGATATCATATTAGAATCAAGTTTAGGTTTGGTTTGGTTTGGTTTCTTTTGTTTTACAATATATCAAGCTCAACGGGTTATTTAATGCCGACAAGATTTTTATTGCTGTAATATTTTTTTTTAAATATAATGCTTGTAATATCTTTTCCCAAAAATGTATTGCTGGTAATATTTTTTTTCCAAAATTCATTGCTGATAATTATTTTTTACAAATATGTATTGCTGGCATTAAAACTTATTTTCACACTTTCATTGCATTTTGTACCCAGTTTTAGGTTAATTATCTGCCCATAGCTGGGACCGTAACAGATGCTACTACTCTGGATCAAGGGGACACCAGTGATTAAGAGGTGGTTCCAAGCTCCTCAAAACCTCTTGATCAGAGGACTTGCTGCTGGACGTAGTTTTTCGTCTTACCTAGGATACCTCATTTGGAGGTGGTTCTTTTTTTTTAAGCGTTTCACCCCAAGCAAGGCGAGAAGCCACTAGGACGCAAGGGATTACAGAATATCAGAAAGGAGTGATAGAAGAAAGGATAGGAGAAGGGTAGTGGATAGATCAAGATAACTGGAGATGTCGATTGACATTACATTTGAATAGCTGGAGATTATAGCACCCAGGGAAACTGGAATAGGGAAGGGAGTTCCACAGGCGAGAGGTGCGAGACATGAAGCTATTAGAGTAGAAGAGACGGCTACATTTAAGAGTTTCGACAGTGAAAGGGTGAGAGCGGGATGCCAGCCCCGTAGGCCTCTTACCTCTTTAAAGAAGTTTTGTCGGCGTAATCTGAAGCCGCAGCCGACAGGATGGTATGAGAAGCTATCTCATTGCCCAATAGTACTGATCTACTAAAGTTTCTCCTTAAACACTTCCCCAGCGTAAACATAGACAAATATACACGTTCAAAAACCACAGATGGGGTTATAAATCATTCTTGATTCATTTTATGCCATTCTGAGCCCTGAAACGGACCCAGTTTCTCCTTAAACCGCTCTACTTTAAGGTGCCTCAGTTTCTTAGGCAAACTCGATTCCCTCTAAGCTGGAAACGAATTCAGTTGTCAACTCATACGGCTGGTAGAGTTAGCCACCGCTCTGGTGCTTCAGGGAGCCTCGGTTTCGTAGTTACTATATTAAAAACAATTTTAAAATATCGTCTGAAACTGAAAGGTTTCCCTAAAATAATTGGCGGGAAACGGGTTAACCATTACTTTATAGCAAATCGCTCAATTTGTTTACTCTGTGAGTAGATCGGGATTAACTGAATAATTCCGAATTTTACTTCGCTAGTCTCTAGTGATTGCGAAATAGCAATAACTCACCCACTGCCTTCAAATTCGGAAGATTGAGGAAGAAGAAGGAATAAAATTTGAAAGCGTATGTGAGATTTTAGCTTTCACAAAAACAAAACATACAGATGCATGCTGGGATTTCTTCCTAGGGAATAAGATAGACCTCTTGTCGATCTCATCCGCCATGTTTTTGTTCTTTTTTGTCTTGAATTTAGAACGTTGCAATCACTTGGCCGCACCTCTTCTGTGTATTAACTCCATTCTTATTATGTGAACTTTTTACTTGATTACTTTCGTCTCGCATATATTGTCTGCTTAATATTATATTTGACGTGTTCTTTTCTTTCTTTTAGTATTGTTTATGGATTTTTTTTCTTTGGATAAAGAATTAAAATTAGAACCAATATATCAGTTATACAAATTTCTGTGAACTGGTCATTCTATTTTATAACGGTAGTGCAGTTCCCCGATTGGTAACAGATGAGTTCGGAATTTGAAATCGGTTCGCAGATCACACTATCCGAAAACAAAACATAGAAATGCATGCTGGGATTTCTTATAACGGTTGTAGATTGTAAAACCGATCTTAAAGTTAAGCAACAACAAGATGCACAAAGAAAAAACTGAGTAGACTCTTTTCAACACTATCAAATTCAGGGATTGAACTCAACAACTACCAGGGAATTTTTAGTCAATATTTTCATCTATGATCCTTAAAGATGGTTAAATGATTAGCCGAAAGCGCTCAAAATCAAACAGCATTTGGCCAATTTCTACACTCATTAAGTCCAAGTGTAAAGTGATGAATAAAATTTATCTTTGTTTTCCACTTCATTATCATTCTTAATTAATTTAATAATCTTCATGGCGTGGGTAAATCAACTGTTCATTTTAACTCCTAAGCTCTGTACCAGTAAAAGTCAAAGCTTTTATGGTCAGAATATCCAAAAATATATATATATATATATATATATATATATATATATATATATATATATATATATATATACTATATATAACGCGTTTTGCCCTCAACCTGGCAGATAAGGTTTCCCTTCTCGATCTGTGTTTTACCTCCATCCCCTGAATCTTGTAGCGCCACGCAGCTCTGCCCTCTTGGTAACTCCAATCATGCCGTAGTATCTGTTAATATTTCCTTCCACTTCACACCCGGCAACAAACCTCCCATCACTAGAACTTCGTTCTACTATCAACGAGCGGATTGGGACTCGTTCCGTGACTTCC